TCATTACCGCGAACACTTTTTAACCTGACGATGACACCATATGTCAAGCATTTGACGACAGAAGGCTCAGGGAAGATTTTAAACTGAGGGCAGGGGTGGCTCGAAGCTACCTGCTACCATTGATGATAGCCTTTACTGCGGTGAACTGGGTCGTGCTGCAGACCGTGGGATGCGAGAAAACTGCCATACGTCGGACAGACAAGGAGACTATGGAAAGCCTGGACCTCACAGACAATTTATGCGTTTGACTTTAAGATTTCAAATCGGAAGCTAAAGATTTGGCAATAGAAGAGATGAAGACAGGATTTTAAATAAACATAAATGAGAAATATATGACGAAGATACCTAAAAAACGACAGAAACCTCCAGGCACTACAACGATAGGAATTCAGATAGATTCACCTCCTCCAGTTGCCCAGGCAACGTCGACTCCATAACAGGTCATACGGCCAGCAAAATTTGGGCTGCCGATATCCATGCCGAAAATTCCATACTTGTACGAAAATACATTGTGGAATCAAGCTGTAAATCAAAAACATTGAATTTAGGATCGTTAGGGCAAGACAGATCTACAGTAATTTCAAACCAGGGCTCCTACACGATTCAGAGACTCGGTTTATTAAGAAAAGCTTTCCAAGAAAGCTTCAGGGTTTTACCGGTAGCTACCTTCCCTTCATACTGAAGATTAGCCCGCTAGCCACAAAAACCTAGTAGCAAGAAACTGAGGTGAGAAATCAAGAACCCATAGCTCATCAAATTTGCCTGAATGAAGGGAGAATGGTTGGGCATACTCTGAGAATATCGCTCAGCCAATTCACACGCCAGGTAATTGAGTGAAACTCATTGGATATTGGATTCTGGCGCTCACTGTTTAAGTCAACTTGCTAAGCTGAATGCTACCGGTCAAGCATCCACGCCATTTGGTACTCCGTCGTGTCACGTCCGCTCGTTCGTGGACGATCCCTGGCCAGCTAAGCAGTCATCTTGAACTCCGATTTGGTCCAGAATTATATCTCGTAATTCGGACGATCAATTGTGGTCCTTTGCTGTGCCTTTGGTTTACGCAGAACGAATACTACAGAGGTTGTGGGTATTAGTTCTTGTGTTAGTATACCTCGTACTATCCGTGAATGCTAAAACCGTCATCCTCGAAACAATTAGAAAGAAATGAAAAGAACAGGATAAAATAAAGATGTGCCGCTGACGTTGCATTCGAAACCTAATGGAACAATCATGTAATAAGTAGATGAATATTCAGGGAAATGAAAAGAGCGAGAGGAGGACTGAAAGGAGATTTAGAACGCATTTTTTGGAAGTCGAATAATACAGCGTGGTAGTTGACGGGTACTTTACAGTTCGATCAGCCAGATAACCGACTTCGGTCTAGTCCATGTGATGCTGTATGGTCAACAAGCCTCTTCTTTCTACAGGTAGCAAAGTAACCGCAGTAAATGGTAAAAGTTACACGGTAGGCAAACTAGAAGCGAGGCTAGATGACAGCTCACTAAACCATTCGCAGGTTACCTATCCCTCTTGAAATGCCACAATGAAAGGAACCGATTTTTCAGGTTATTGCAGCCACTAGCAATCACATTAGCCGACGATCCCTGGTCATGAAAAGACCTAATTTCCACAATTTCACTTTACTTGAAGATAATAATATATTTCAGGATTATATCACGAGCTGACACTAGTTAGAGGACCATTAGAAAACCTGGGAGTACTGGACAGCTGTTCTCTCCGTCCTAGTTTGGGACTCTTCAGCATTACGCACCCACCAGTGGCTGAATAGTATACAAGCTCGTCTCGTAACCAGAAGGTCCTGGGTTCGAATCCCGGTGGGTGCATAATGCTGAAGGGCCCCAAACTAGGACGAAACAGCTGTCGAGTACTCCCAGGTTTTCCAGTGGTTCTCTAACTAATGTCAGCTCATGATGAAATCCTGAAAGCAACCAAATCCCTACAAACCAACACTTAAATTATATATTTCTTCCTGTTCATGCAGGAACCTGCCAATTGTACAGGCATGGATAAGTTATTATATAAATTACACATAATTTGATGTTTGATGAATCTACAGTTCGGTTGTTCTTTCTGACATTAGAGTCAGTCGGAACAGTCTGCTATAAAGTCTGTTTGTGCAGAGATATAGAAATATTGTCTTCGCATTAACTGAAGTCTGTAAACACTTTTACCACTCTTCCATGAACCCCTATACCAAAGGTTGGTATCCCTTTTAAGCCGTCATATCACACACCTCATTGTGAGGCCGTATTTGTATTTTATACAGTTTTAGGAGACACTCATGCCTGAGCGTGTCCGACTGCACTCGTGCGGAGTGTATAGCAGTATATGACTTGGCCACGTTACACAAGTAATGCATAACTGCATCTATCCTACCGCTTAGGATGAGACCTGAGTGATGCTTTGTTGGTGAATCGGAAAGTTATCACAACACAGTAATTAAGTTACTCTTCGCGTCCTTTTGGTGCGTACATGAACAATCAAGCATTTTTAAGGTTGAAAGACTTTCTAGTGACACATGTTTAGCCCTTCAGGGAATTTATGTGTGTCTTTGACATATCTGGATCCGGATTTTCAACTCCAATGTGAAGTCAGTCAGTGCTTCTATACTGATCAGAGACTTGGCTATTCATAAAGTGAACCTCAAACAAACTTCAGACTCTCATTAACAGTTGTCTTCGCTCAATACTCCGCTCAAGATCAGATGGCCGGCCAGAAAAGATCAGCAATGGTGAGGGATCTCTGGGAGCGAACCAACCAGGAACCGATTGTGAAACAATAGGCAGGAAGAAATGGAGATGGATTGGCTAGTCATACTCTGAGGAAACAAACCATCAAGTGACATTACTAGACAAGCCCTCGAGTGGAACCCGAAAGGGAAGCGGCGAGTCGGTCGTCAGTGCAAGGGTGACTTGGAAGAGGTCATGTGAGGAGGAGATGAAAGCATGTGGGCAGACTTGGAGCGGGGTGAAAAAGTTGGCAGAAAACAGAAGGCAATAGAGGTGCGCAGCTGAAGCCCTATGTTCCTCTGGGAATTAAAGGATATAATAATAATAATAATTTGACATATCTGAGTCTTCCGAACGACCCATTTTACTCCATATATTTAGGCCATCAGCACGAAAAAGGCCCGGAAAATTCAGTCATCATTGTAGGTCGTTGATGAAAATTTAGATCGTTATGACATGATATACTGAGGCGCCTAATACGAACCCAAATAACTGAGACAGAATGCAATACTTACGGATATTTACCTACAGTATTAGGGGAACAAAAGTTTATAACACCCCAGTACAACACGGAAACAACGTCTTTGTTCCCTGAAAATCCAACACCACTTTTGGTTCCCATCAGTACAAGTGATGAAAATGATTGGTGAGGATGAAATGGCAACATCTCAGTTGAATTCACAAGTTCCTTCTGTCTCCTACAAAGTTCTTTTTACAGGTAAGCTGTATTTGTACATTTTATAGTATTAAAATGTGTTATGATAATCAAGAGATGGCAGTCTCTGAATATTTGGGAAAACCATAAGATGAGCTTATGGAATCCAAGTAAAATTTGAAGATAATACAGCAGGAATTATGTTGAAGAAAAGCGGAAGTCTAACTATTTTCACACTGTTCTGAAAAAAGTTAGTTGTCTTTCTGAAGAAGCGGCTTGTTAATATGCATTTGCATTCAGAGGGTTTATGTTCGAGCGCCTACAATCGGATACTTCTCATCTTTTTTTATTAATTCACTCAAATCCAGGAACCGTCTTTCCTGAGTGAGGTTGCTTCTCTCTGCACAGGTGAATTCGGTATTGCTGGTTCTATCATGAGAGCTGCTGCACTAGTGTGCTGGTTTTCGTCATTCCGGTGATTGCAGTAGATTACTGATTCTCCAGTGAACAATTTGTAAAGTCCTCTCCTATTTCATGTGATCTTATAGATTCTTAACATTCCTTCGCCTTTTCATGAACCAACTAATATATCAAAACAATTGGTCAAGGTCTGCGTAGGATGAGTTTACGTAAGTCTACAGTGGTTACTATTAGTTAACGATTTTTGATAAGTAATAGTGCCGAAATCTACTGCACTGGACGCAAGGCAGGTTGAGTGCGGCCGAGTGTCTACAAAATTGTCTTAAACCGATTAGCTTCGTCAGACCTGAGATCAAAGCATGATATCAGTGGTCGGCCTGCTAAATTTGGGTAACCGAAATCACAAGCTGAAAATTCCGTAGTTGTACCATAATACTGTGTGTATTCAACCCATCATAAAAATAAAATCAACTAGTCGATCTACAGCATGCATTATCGGGGTGTTGAAGTTTCGTTTCCGGTGCGCAGAGATGTTTTATTCATTAAGACAGCCTTAAATGTCATAGGTAATATGTGGTTTATACATGGTTCCTCACCTCATCCTTCTGTATTACTTAATCACTAACAACCCCTCAGTGACTATATACAGGATCTTTTCATTTGATTTGCTCCGAGTAGACTATTAGACTTCTAACGACGTCCGATTTTTCTTGCTCCCATGCTTATTTCCACCTTCGTCATGAGAGGACACATCCGCTGAGCTGCACCCCAAAGGTTTTCACCACTTGGCGTCAATTCGTCTTTTTGATTACAGAAAAGAGTAGGATTACCTCATGTATTTTTGCGGGTTTTGAGGTTTCTGGAGCAACTGATTAGATTTTGAGACAGAAAACAGGCTTCACACCACATCTCTACTATTTTCACAGGCTCAAGTGCAATTTGTTAATACGGTGAGGTTTTTCGTTCCTTTAACTTCATTTGTTACTCTAATTATCTGTCCATTCAATTGTGTTTTTTTCAAGCATAAGTATTTGCAGCGTATCATGTGATGGTCACACTTATCTCTCCTTTTGATCACAGAACTAATCAAGTGTGACTCCTCTCGGAGTCATTTAGGGCTACAGCGTACGTTTGGAGGGATAAATCAAACGGAGGCTCAACGGATACCCGAAGCTAAGAGGTAAGCTTGAAGAAATCAGTCTCAACTGCAACAGCTCGATGAAAAAGATTGATTGGATATTGGATTCTTAACCTTGGAATCAAGCCGCGTCAGTTAAAACTATTCTCAATGCTGTTCGCTGAAGCTGTTGACAACAATAAGAGTCTTAACCTGACTATTTGTCGCTCAAAAGAAACCAGGTTTGACGACTGTAGAGTTTATTATTTTCAGGCTGTGTCGTGTTTATGTGTATCGAGATGTTATAGAGGTTCACAATGGTATTCGAAATAATAGAGTAAAACTAAATGGTGTGAATATATCCTTCATGAGCTGCAGAAATCTTTGCTCATCTAGGGAAGACAGTATATCTGTTAGCTTTGATGCGTCGTTCGACTTGGTTTGTGAGGACAATAGTGACTTTTACAAGATGGAGAACAATATTTGTGCTGCTGAAACCACTATATGTGGATTTTGTGAACAAAAACTTGGAAACATAAAGTAAGATGACTGATTAAACTGACTTTTTAGAGACATCAAATGTGATACTAATCTTCAGAAACCCATTTTGCTTGGGGAAGATTGTCTGAGTATTGAGGGTGGTTTTTTCTGTCATCAGAACAAAGATAACCCTCCCACGGTGACTGAAACTTCTGTAGACGCGCAAACGTTATTGTTCGAACACGATCTAAACTCCTCCTTGAACTGTCGTTCCACTGGTTTAGAAATGGTATTGGACTGTTCATTTGTTGAACAAAACTCTTTTTCAGTCAAGAAAAATAATTACGTCCATTGTTCATGTTGTCAGATGGCATTGGGAAAAAAAGGTAATAAACAGAACTATTTAGACCCATACGAAAACGTAGTTGTAATATTTATTCAAAGTGTGCGTGCTTCCTAATGTGCAGCACTATAACATCAGACTGAAATGTAGAAAAAAATCAGTCGACGGAAAATTTCTGAGCACTCAGGTGGGGTGATCGACAGCTAGGTGATGCCTCTTCGCAAGATAAGACATAAGTGATTCACAAAAGTTGAATGCTTGTTGATGCCTTGTCAGCAATCAATTCATTAAGGCTAATGCAACTTCTGAAACAAATGTAGGGTTGGAATGCTCAGCCACTGTGCTCTCTTTAAACTGGAAGTCGTTGTGGACCAATCCTGCATCATCTTACATTAGACACGAGTAATTTTCCCTTCCGAACACAGTAAGCTTTCAGCCTAGGGTGTTCATCTAAAAGGACAATATCATTCGCATATCTAAGTTAACGCGACTGTCTCCTGGTAACAATCCGTAGGTCAGTAAAATCAATTAGGATCATATCCATTACTTTGTGATGAAATTAAACGTGAGTGGTTACGGTGAGCATCCTTGAAGGATACCACTGATTGTCATCACTTCACATGACAAATATCTAACACATCTGCGTGAGTTCAAGTATAGAACCTTGATTAGTGTGATTTACTTTCTGGACACTACCTTCAGTACCAAATATTGCCACAATACCTTGATAAACGGAGTTAAATGCCTATAAGAATACCTTAGTTCCGAAGTCTGTTATAGGGTGGAGATATGGTCGATATTACCATTTTCCTGACCTAAAGCCTCTCTGATTTTCACTGGTTTGTTTCTTCCGAGCACCTTTTGGTCTACGTATTATGACAGAACCTAAAATTTTAGATACTGTGTCAGTCTGGTCCCACATGGTTTTTATTTCTCCCTTAAATAAAAACTTCGTGTTCTTGTCAAACTGGAGGTGTATTGGCTTCGTAGATGCCTGTTTGCCATGTTCCTTCAGTCGCAGGTATATACGTGCACAGAATAGAGCGTGATCAGAATCGACATGTGTGCTTCAGAAGCAGCAACAGTCTTCTACCGAGTTTTTGCGGCTATAGCCTATTGGTACGCGATAGCTGTGGGTCCAACTCTGATTTGTTGATGGAGGTTGCCAAGTGATGCGATGTATTTCCCTAACGACTAAAGTTAGTGCTAAAAAGGAACGTATGATTGTCTGGAAAGAACCGTAAAAGTCCATAACCGTTGTGGTTTCGTCGGCATGGGACTCTATTGGTGTTGCCATTTTCCTTTTCAATATGGCAAAGCTTTTGTAATTGAGTATTGAAATCACCTGCTGAAATGATCGTATCTGAGTGTCTTACCTTCAGCAGCAAGGTAAACAGCTTTTGATAAAATTTGTTGTTTATTTCGTTGGAATAGCAGTCTGTTGGGAAATAAGTGGAGATTTTTACAAAGAAATCGACGCGTATCATAATCTTTCTTCCGCACGGGCCTGTTCAGTTCGGCAGCACCCATACGACGATTCACTGAGGTCCAGTCAAGTAGTGATTTATTAGTGCTAGCAGTTAGTGCTCTTCCTCCACCAGCAATTCCATACAAACTAGTAGAAGAATCTTACTGCGAGATTATGACCGATGCCCTCACATGTGACATAATTCAACATTATTTTTGTTTACCTCAGATGATTCACTGTCAAGATTACTGTAATTATGTCTATCGCAACACTGCAACTGTCATGTCAATGCTGTCTCATAGATAAAAGTCATCTGGAAATCCGTCCCCCCCCTTTCCATAGCTATTTACTTTGTAGTAGTTAAAGCCAAAGTCAAATTGTTTTGGCTTCAATTGGATAATACTAAATGCATTATCACGGTTACATTAACATACACTTGCTTCGCAACGGAAACTAGAGCCTTTTGGTGAAGAATGAGCTTCTAAAGTAGACATTCTTCTATTGCCTAAATGATTACTGAAATAAAGATATAAATAAGTAATTTTTTTCAAATTACTAAGCTTTTCTATGACCGAATAAACAAGTTTTTTAAAAATTTATTTCATAGTTTCATGTGGTCTTCGAGAATATGTGGTTTTTTGGACTAATCGTGTTAACCTACTAATCAGAGAGAAAGGTACTGATGACAATTCCATCAGTTTGGTTAAAAAACCATTAATGTAAGTCTTAAAGACAATCCAAATGCATTATTTTTCTTCTTATGCAACTTCTCTTGTGCTTGAAAAAAATTATTATTAAAAAAACATTTTTCACCGTATTTATGTATTTTTATGTCTGGCTATATTAAAACTGATTGATTGTAGGTGAAGACTAGTTAGCTGCTTTACTTTCAGCTGTGTAAGTTACAGTTTTGTATTCTACAGATACGAATTATCGCATATGGTGATGATTAGAGGAAGGTAGATTATTCTATCAGTTAGATTCAGTGCATTTAGTGATCAAAATTATCTCAGGATTGTTTAGATAATTAGAAAAGTATATAGGTATATATAAGAGCAGTCATTTCAATAAAGGGGTTAGTACACAACTGTTTCGTCCTAGTTTCAGACTCTTTAGGAGTACGCGCTCCGATAGGGTTCGAATACAGGACCTTCCGGTTACAAGCCAAGGTCGCAGACCATTCAGCCACTGGGACCCGACTCAATGGCCAGACCATGAATTCCAACTCCTGCCAATTCGTGATTTTAGCGCGACTAGCACCAGCCAATGTCATCCTCACTCCCGACCGGGTGGACCCCGTCCCCCATTGGTCACGACTTCTCACTAGAACTCCAGGTAACTTGGTCCTATAGCCAGACAGTCAGTGGCGATCATTAGATTAACTTTTATGGGTTAGTTCGTAAGGATTTGATTTGTTTCAAGCTTTATCGTGGATTGATGTCACGAATTGATGGAAGCTGGAATTCACATGGACTGGCAACTGACCCGGGTTCATGTAGCTGAATGGTCTACGAGCTTGCTTTGTAACTAGACGGTCCTGGGTTTGAAACCCTATGGGTGCGTACTGATGAAGAATCCCAAACCAAGACAAAACAGTTGTCCAATATTCCCTGATGGTTTTCAATGACTGCCTGACTGATATCAACCCGTGATCAAACTTATAAAACAAATCAAATGCCTACATTAATAAATAATTAATAATTTTTTCCTTCATGTTCCCAGTGAAACATAGGGCTTCAAGCTAGTGGCTTGAAGTTTCTGTAGCAGTGTTTATTTTACAAGATGAGGTTGCTAGCCTCATGCCCAACCTTTCCTCTTTACCGGCATTATTCCTGGCTTACCGAGGTGAAGGAGTGCGTCGGGCGGGGATCGGACCCCGGACCATGTGCATGGTTGGCGAGCGTCCTAACCGCTATACCACCGACGCATGCCTACAAGCAAACTCTAAGGTTTAGGTTCACTATTCGGAAAGGAAAACACACCACTTATCGGAATATCGGGTACACTAAGAATCTTAATTATTTATTTTAACACACAGTCCGGTTTTTGACTTTTGGTTCTTCTGTGTTATGTCTTTCTAGTAAATGATCATATTGTTAAACAAGGTATTAACTGAGTAGTTCAAATTCAGTAGAATCAGCCCAATTGATGATTGCACTAGTACTGTTTTATTTTCACACAGGAGGATTAAATAACTCATGTTATTAAAAAAAAGATGCTGATAGAGTTTCAGGTTTAGAAATTTAACTTTCTGGCAGATTTATTTAACTTCACAACAGAAAATTCAAAGCATTTATGAAACCTTGACACCTTGAGGAGCAATCTTCCAATATTTGAAATGCGTTTTTCTCACGTCAAATGTCAGATGATGCTACAGGACTGGACTACATCGATTCATTCATAGCTTAGAGATAGGCTGGAGTGAAGTGGTAGGCAGTGTTGACCACTTACTTCACTTACTTTTGGGAAATCACATCCGCCAACGCCAGTGGGTTAGTCGCTGACGAAATCTCAGAACAGATACAGAAGGCTCGTTTGACATTTGCCTGCGAACTTACGCCATTTCTGGCTTAGTAGACGTGGTATCTGGCTGATTATTAATCAAAGGATGTGTGTACTGCTCAGAAGGTTCACTCCGTCCTTCCTTATGACTGTGAGTGAGACATGGCCATTGAAAGTCGAAGACATGAAAAGCCAGACTAGATGTCTTTGATCAAAGGTGCCTGCTTTTCTATCTCCTATGCTAGATGGCACAGTAGAGTGATTGTTAGGTAAAGAGTGTAATTCGACTGATGAGGTTGTGAATCTGCATCGATTGAGACGGGGAGGATATATGTTGCGCATTCCTGGCCATCGTCTTCCTCGATGGGCAATGTTAGCTGACATAGAGTCAGGCTGGAAAAGAGCTAGCGGTTGTTAAACCAAAACTGGGCATTATGATTCAATGAAATCCATGACAGTTACTTTAAGCCAGTCACGTAAGGAGGTGTAGACCTCCTGGTTGGGATCCTCGTTATGGTAAAAACGATTAAAGGATGAAGACAATTTGTGGTATGATTCAAAATCGTTCTAATTGGCTCAGATTTTTGATTTGCCATATCCACATGATGTGTGTTTTGTTTTTGGCAGTCTATTATATTTTGCTATGTGTATATGGATCGATATTCCATTATAACTGACAATATGCTTTTGTCTGTCCACTAACTAAATAAACATGTATGACCTTGTTGTCACATGACATTACAACCAATCATGTTAAGACTGTCTATTTATTGGTTCATGTGTATTAGCCATTTTCATATATACTTTTGTACTGTACACTTGTTCTTACTTGTTCCCACGTTTCGTACATGACGTACCATTTCACTCACACACTTGTGTGACATTTATTTTCCTTTTCCGAAAAATACAAGTATCATCGTAAACCTGGTGGTCTTCTGATTTCCCTCTTTCCGCGTCAGGACTATTAACTACTCGACAAGTACATAACATAATTGGCGACGGGGGAAACTTACTATTAACCACTCAGCAGCAGTACATAACACCAGTAAAACTCTATTATTCCTCCATATTACTACTCTTTCTCCCCCATACTTCTGTTTATTTTCTTTCTTTCGAACCTCTCTTCTCTTGCTTTGTGTACTATATAGAGGGAGAGTGGCAACTAAAACTGCTGCATATCTGTGCAAAGTTCTATACTGTAACCAGTCAGTCAGTCAGTCAGAAATCAAGAGTATTTTAGCCGAATCCAAAAGTGCTCACAATCAGCTTCTACATACTCAAACTTTTTCTTATATATATATATATATATAATTTGAAGATATAGATGCGATGAAGAATATTTGTAGCTCAGGTACATGTGGTTGTGTTCTCTGAGCTGGATGGTTAATTTGCGAAGCTTTCATCACCCTACAAGGCGACATCTTCACCGCATACTTCAATTTGAAGTGAGCTTTTAGATTTCTTTACAAGTTAATTAATCTTCTCTCCTGGTGACGTTAGACGTGATTAGTTGTTTTTCTGTGTTCTCACACCTTCTAGGCTACTTGTGTTGGAACTGATTGTTTCTTTGAACTGAACTTCTGTACGTTCACCTGGAGTCCTGTCTTCGCCACTTCTCAACAGCCAATTTGTTAATTTTCGCTTTCAAGTCTTCGAGTTTGTATGCCATTAAACATAAATCTCCCGCGAAATCCAAATCGTCCAGAGTCTTCTTATCGATAGTCCAGCGTATGCCTGTCTCCTCGCTCCTCACAGTCTGACGCATAATCCAGTCCACCACAATTAGGAATATCATTAGTGATAATAGGCGGCCTTATCTTAATCCTGTGTGCACTTCGAACGCCTCTCTGAGTTTTCTGTTGTGGATCACCTGACACGGAATTGTCATATAGGTGTTGAATGAGGTTGGTAATGATTTCAGGCATTCCATGGTGTTGAAGTAGTTTCCAAATTACTTCTCAGTCAACGTTGTCTGTCCGAAGGCGTTTGCGAAGTTGAGGTGAAGGTTTGACTGCCATTCTATGCTTTGTTCTATAATGATGCATAAAGTTGCAGTTTTATAAGCTCATAATTTGCCTTTCCTGATTCTCGCCTGGTTTTCTGACCGGTCCGAAATCTCGGAAAATAAGGAGGGTTGGGCGTGGGACTAGCGGTCCCATCCCGGTAAACCAATCAAACTACTACAGAAACTTCAGCGCACAAGTCAGTGTAAAATGCTATCTAATTTTAAATTTGTCGTATTATGCCATTTATCTGGGTATTGTTATAATTATAGAAAAATAATTGATTTTTTAACTGACAAGATTTGAGACACTTTCTTCGTTTATATTGACTTGCCGTATAATTAAGTGGTAGTTGATATGCTATTAAATAGTAGTATAAAATACTGTTGCAAATTTATTCACCAGGTATAGCCATTTGTTAAGCGTAGACCTAGTAATGTAGCTTCATATATTTTGCATTTGTTTTAATATCTGTGTAATTTATGTAGAATGAGAATAATAAGCGAGAATAGTTTTTTTTTCCACTAAATTCTTCTTCAGGCTACACAGTTACATTATTATTATTATTATTATTTCCTTGCATTGTGAGTGGAACATAGGGTTTCAACAGCACATCTCCATTACACACCTTCTTTTCTAAAGTCCATTTCAGCTGGTCTCAAAATTGCCTATAAGCTTTCATTTCCTCTTCACACGATCTCCGGCATATCACACCAGAACCTACGCCAAACTTGTCGCATCCCGTTTGGATTGCACTCCATAGACTGATATGTAATGTTATCTGAAGGTCTTTCTCTGCTCTCCCCCTCCCTCCTCCCAGTGTATGTTCAGTCCATACCGACTTCCTTCTGCATATTTATTGAATAGTAGATTGTTGTCTGGTTCGCCGACCACCTGAGTTCCTTTTTGCTTATCCGTGTTAACCCGTCATCATCTAATCTTCAGTATCAAGGGAAAGAGGGTAGACGTTGATGTACGTCTACAACGACGTGTTAGAAATGCTTTTCGTAACGTGTACGCTAAGTCTTTGAACGTTACAAAAGCAACGATTAATTTGATTCGTATCAGTCTTAAAGATATGGATCTTGTTCTAGCGTTTATTTGATAAATCAGAAAAATCTGTCGGTTATAGTTGGAATCATTGGCAGATTGATTATGTACTCCCCTGGTGGTGGGTGATATTGTGGACTGAAATTCAAGGTGCCCGAAATATCCAACTGGAAGATCTCTTATTCGCACTAAATATTTATCTTAATATGAGTTGAAACGTAATTCTGGGAAAACTTGCCTTTTGGCTTTCTCTCTAGAAAATAAAGATATTATTATTTCATTATTGTTCTCTTAGATTCCAAGTGGAACATTGGGCCTCATTAGCATGTCTTTACTTCGTCCTATTCCCTGCAGTCCTTTTTCTCTGATTCCGTGATTGCCCATAAACTGTCACCTGCTCCTTACACGATCTCTTCTGTGTCAACCTTGGATAAACGCCAAACTCGTCGTTTTCCATTCTGGTTCCCCTCAAAGACCTGTCACTCAGCGCCACTCAACGTGTCTCTGATCCATCTCCATTCTCTTCTACATATATATTGAAAAAGAAGTTCTTGGTTGGTTAGTCCCCAGAGGTTCTTGGTTGCTAGCTCTCTCCGGCCAATCTGTTCTTGAGTATGGAGCCAGAGAGAGCAACTGTTGATGGAAGTCTGCACTAGCCTGTTGGAAATGCTTTACGTGACACTGGCGCCACGTTTCTGACACATACAGAAGAACTGACTGACTTAACATTTGCACTGAAAATCTAAGTCTTGTTGTTTATGCTGGCTGAGTGTAGAAGACTTTGGAAATGATTTCAGATTGATGAAGATGTAGCTTGTCTTTCTGATTCTTTCTAGTTTTCACATCTTCAGTCGTCGTGAATGCTTGTAGTGTTGGAACAGTGCTTCCTAGATAACTGAAGGGAGTGACCTCTTTTGAATTTTTTGTTATTGATGTTGATTGTTGTTGGTTGGTTGTATGGTAGGTTATCTATCTTCATCTCCTCCGTCTTCTCTTGATGTTCACCTAGAGTCCTGTCTTTGCTCTTCTCATCAAGCAGTCTGCTGGCTTTTGCCTGAAATCTTAAATGATTAATAATTACAAATTTGAAAATCAACAAATACTATTTGAAATATTGAAAAAGTACACTTGGTTTATTTACCGAAAGCAAAGAGAAAAGGCTTTATCGGTTTTAGATTGGGAAAGAAAATGACGTACTATGTGCTGTCTCGAACCCAGTTTATATAATCACATAGTGATTGGAATTCTTGATATATCTACTAAATAAGGCATCGTAGAAACACAAAAGTGGTGATTGGTAACAGAACATTTATATACTACTGATAAATCTTGTTTTTTTTGAAGTAGTTGTTTTCTCCTGGGAACGTGGAAGATGAGTGGCTGCTCTTGTCTATTGATATTGATTGCTTCCTTGACTTGTAGTTTGACTTTTCGTGTATGCGATCTTTCTCTTATGGATTGGTAAGTTTTATCTGTGTCAATGTGCCTGTTAATTGCCGATTCACTGAAATACCAGGCTTCTAAAAATTCTCTGGCGTTCTTGATGTTTCCTCTTCCTAATATTTCAACGTTGTCCCTGTCGAATTAATACCCGTGGTTGAGAGAATTTTAGGAAGCCTGGTATTCCAGGGAATCAACAATTAACAGGCACATTGACATAGATAATATCTACCAATCTATGAGAGGAAAATCTCATATACACAAAAAGTCAAACTTCCGGTCAAGAAAACAATCAATATCAATACAAATAGACTAGAGGGTGTAAAGACTGACAAGAACAAGCAATCACTTCCAAGGTCACCAGGAGAGATGACTAATAAACTCGTGGAGAAATTTAAAAACTCACTTCAACAAGTTGAAGTATGTTTTGAAGATGTTGCCCAGTAGAGGGCGATGAAAAACCCTTCCAGCTCAGAGAAAACAACTACATCACAACCACCCACCTGAGCTACAAATTTTGGCAGTAGCACATGACACAAACTTACTTCAGAGATATTTGAGTGTTTTTACCTTAAAGAAGAAAAGCTAAATTCTTTAGTGGATGTTAACAAACAATCAATATCACTTGTAGTTGGACTAGACATATTAACATTTAGCCGTTTTAATTATTCAGTGACATTTTAAGACACTTATGTATTGATTATATTCTCATATTACTGTGCTACAACAGCATTACGCCTTATACGCATACACGCATAAAGACTTACTGATCGATAAAAAAGTGTGTTTAACTAGTATGTTTCCTTTTATAATTATAATACTGTTATAGTTGAAAAGATTCATGCAAGAAATACGGTGTGATGTGTTATTTAATATAGTTGTTCAGATATATATCTAGTCGTCAATCTACTACTTTCTGATAATTACTGACTTCACGATAGATTTCTCGGATTTTTGTGATGGAAAAGATGTGACACCAGTAGGGCCTATCAAGTTGCATGTCATAAGGCATGCATATGACATCGGGTTGTGATGGTTCAACACTGGTCGTAATATGCTAACTTCGTAACTCAACAGTCACGGAGTTTCCTATAGTTTATTAGGAAACTATCATGATTCACTTCTGTGAAAAATGTAGTTTTAATGTTACAGGACTGGACTACATCGATTCATTCATAGCTTAGAGATAGGCTGGAGTGAAGTGGTAGGCAGTGTTGACCACTTACTTCACTTACTTTTGGGAAATCACATCCGCCAACGCCAGTGGGTTAGTCGCCGACGAAATCTCAGAACAGATACAGAAGGCTCGTTTGACATTTGCCTGCGAACTTACGCCATTTCTGGCTTAGTAGACGTGGTATCCGGCTGATTATTAATCAAAGGATGTGTGTACTGCTCAGAAGGTTCACTCCGTCCTTCCTTATGACTGTGAGGGAGACATGGCCATTGAAAGTCAAAGACATGAAAAGCCAGACTAGATGTCTTTGATCAAAGGTGCCTGCTTTTCTATCTCCCATGCTAGATGGCACAGTTGAGTGATTGTTAGGTAAAGAGTGTAATTCGACTGATGAGGTTGTGAATCTGCATCGATTGAGACGGGGAGGATATATGTTGCGCATTCCTGGCCATCGTCTTCCTCGATGGGCAATGTTAGCTGACATAGAGTCAGGCTGGAAAAGAGCTAGCGGTCTGTAAAAGCCAAACATGGCATCATCATTCAATGAAATTCACAACAGTTAGTTTAAGCCCCTTTACGCAGGTGTAGACTAGCTTCATCTTTGGTGTCCTCGGGACGGTAAGATCCAATGGCTGGAAACAATCGGTGATATGGCTAAAAATCGTTCTCACTAGGTGGCGCGGATGCATCCACTCCTTGTGATTTATTATATCCAGTGAAATCCTATTGTTTGTCGGCATTACTATTCTTTTTGCCTGACGTTTCTGTTTATTTTCTCTCTCTCTCTCTCATTCTTTTGAATCTCTTTTTACTCTCTTCTCCTGCTTTTTGTGCTACATGGAGTAGAGTGTGGCAACTCGAACTGGTGCACATCTGTGCAAAGTTCTATACTGAAACCAATCAGCCAGTCACACACTAATGTGTAGAATCATAGACGAAATTATCACCACTTGATAACCATTTCTGTAACCACATAATTCAGTTATTCACCCATTCAATTTCTATCTTATTATAATATTACAGATTTGACGATTCGAAATTCTACGGTCTGTTGATTACTAATTTGGTAGAAAGTAATCACTATCGAATTATTTTATCCGCCATAACATGGGATGGCCTTATAGACTTCATGTTGGTAAGTTAAAAGTTCACTGCGAACAGTTTGCTGCTGCATTTGGCTAATTTAATTTGAATTGTTCTGTATTTATTTTTGAATGCCACAACAGTTTTACCGTAGTATGCTATTCCTCCTCCTCCTAAGTGTCTATATCACTGTAAAAACCGCCACTCCTCCTATGGATATATTTAGGAATATTCCTACAGGACACGCACAACATCTCACTTTCATAAGTGGTGAATTCAGGTGAAGGTAATTCTAACAAAATTTTGATATATTATTATTCTTTGGATTCCGACTGGAACATAGGGCTTTAACAACACATCTCCACTTTGTTCTATTTTCTGCCGTCCTCTTCAGCTGCGTCCATGTTTGTCCGAAATCTCTCGTTTCCTCCTCACACCATCTCCTTCATGTCACCATCGCATCGACGAGCAACTTGTTGCTTCCCACTGAGATTCAATTCGAGCGATGGTCTCTGCATTGGGCGCGATGTCATTCGACGAGCTCCTCAACATCTACCCGAGCCATCTCCATTTTCTCCAACATATTTGTTGAGCGATCGACTGTTGGCCGGTTTGATCCCAGAGTTTTTTGTTATTAATTATTTCTGGCCATTTTATCTTCACTATGGATCCAGCGAAGTTGATAGTTGTTGATAAAAGTCTGTAACTTGTTGGAAATGCTTTCCTTGAACCTGGCATCAATTTTCTGAAGCATATAGTAGGGCTGACTTCCCATTTATGTTGTAAATCTAAGTCTTGTTGTTTATGCTGACTGAGTACAGAAGATTTTGAAAATGATTTCAAATTGATGAAAGTGTAACTTGCCTTTCTGATTCTGTCTGGTTTTGACATCTTCAGTCCTCGCGATTGCTTCCTAGATAAGTGAAGGGAGTGACCCCTTCCGAATTTTTGTTGATGTTGATTGGTGCTAGTTGTTGTTGTTGGTTGGTTGTTTATCTTCGTCTTTTCCTGATATTCACCTGGAGTCCTGTCTTCGCTGTCAGTCTGTTGCTTTTCGCCTGAGATCTATTCAAAACTCAGGGAATGCATTAAATTCTAGAAATCTCGACACTTACACGAAGTCTTGTCCATATATATATATATATATATATATATGTTTTCGACATAGAACTTTGCACCGATGTGTGGCAGTTCAAGTCGCCACAATCCATGCAGCACACAAAGCAAGAGAAGAAGGTAGAAGAAATGCATAATAGAGACAGTAAACAGAGGTGTGAGACAAAGAAATTGAAGTAACGAAGAACAATGTAGTTTCATTGGCAATCACAGGTTACAAGGAGTGGATGCATCTGCGCCATTGAGAACGATTTTGAGCCATATCACTAATTGTTTCCAACCATTGGTTTTTACCTTCCCGAAGACCTCAACCAGGAAGTCTACACCTTCCTACCTGACTTTAACTGATGTGGATTTGATTGACTGGTGCCATATTTTGGTTTGACCGTCGCTAGCTCTTTTCCAGCCTGGCCCTATATCAGCTAACATTACTCGTCGAGGAAGGCTATGACTAGGCATACGTAACACATGTCTTTGTAACTTCACAACTTCGTCGATTGATTTCCCCTGTTTACCTAGAACTCGACACCTAACCTCAATATTGCTCACCTTATTATGTCACTTCACACGGGAGATAGAACGCAAGCACCTATGATCAAAGGCAGCTAATCTTTTCATTTCTTCCACTCTCAATGACCAGGTCTCACTGCCATAAAGAATGACGGGGCGGACGGATGAGCAGTACACCGGCCCTTCGGTCGATAGCCGGATATCACGTCTACGCCAGAGACTGCGTAAACTGGCATATGCGAAACTAGCCCTCTGTATCCGTGCTGAGATTTCGTCAGAGATCAACCCGTTGGCACTGGCTGATGATACTTCCCAAATAAGTGAAGCGGTCAACGGGCCCTACCAATTCACTCCCTATATATAATCTAGGAGTTGGTGTAGTCCAGTCCTGTAACATCATCTTGCATTTGGAGGGGGCGAATCGCATGCCGAACATTCGTAGATTGCAGCTCAAGGTGTTCAGAAGACTCTGCTCTGTTTTGTCAGCGTCCTCGCCTAGAAGGACTATATCGTCTGCATATTCTAAGTCAACGAGATTATTCCCTGGTAGCAAATCAATCCCTGAGTCACTGAAGTGAGTTAGGGTTAAGTCCATTAGTACATCTTTGATGAAACTGAATAGAAATGGTGATAATGGGCATCCCTGATGGATACCACTAGTCGTCATCACTTCATGTGACAACTCGCCGTAAGATCTCACCTGGTTGCGTGAGTTCGAGTAGAGTGGCTTGATCAGTGAAATGTATTTTCTCTGCATTCCCTTTACGGCCAAGCATCGCCAGAGCACCTCTCGGTCGACAGAATCGAATACCCCCTTTAGGTCAAGAAATATAACGATTGTTGGACGCCGGTAAGAATGCTTGTGTTTTAGAATCTGTCGAAGGGTGAAGATATGATCAATACACCCTCTTCCTGGTCTAAAGCCTGCCTGGCTCTCTCGTATTTGTGCCTCCCTAGCACCACTCAGTCTACGCATGATTATTGAGCCTAAGACTTTAGATACTATATTAGTCAAGCTAATCCCTCTGTGATTATCACAGGAAGACTTGTCTCCCTTCTTGTATATGGGGATAATCAGTGACTTACACCAACCCGATGGGACTTCTTCTGATTCCCAGAGGCTGCCTAGTACCTCAGTTAATGCAGACAGTAAACTGTTTCCACCGTACTTAAATACCTCTGGAGTCATTCCATCAGGTCGTGCTGCTTTGCCTAGTTTCAGATTGGTGACAGCTTTAGTAACCTCAGTTAGTGACGGAGGACCTGTATCTATATCCCATTCAGGGAGGTGTTGGATGCTCGGAAGGTTGAGCGTGGCTGTGGGTAAATTAAACTGCTCCTCATAATGCTCTTTCCAACGATCCAGTCGTCTATCCTGTGAGCTAATTATAGTGCCATTTTTTTCCGAGATTGTCTCACTAATGATTTGTCTTCTCCCACCCGTTTCCCTGATAAGCCTAAATAGTTATCTGGTGTTACCAATCGCCGATGCCTTTTCCATCTCTTTCGCTTTTGTCACCCACCACTGTTCACAGTCGTTGCGAAGACTTCTTGTTAGTTTTTGTTCGAGTATTTTTCGCTCCTCATCATAATCGGAGCTCGCCGGAGTCAGTCTTCTTACGTCAATCAGTTCGAATGAAGCGGTAGAGATCCAATGGCTCTTACTAACTTTTGGTTTTAGCTTGTTAACAGCTTTTACAGCTGTGTCTACAGCTAACTGTTTATTGTGCCAGGCTACCTCAGGAAAAGTCCTGCTGTCGACCTCAGACACTCGTTTCGTTATTTCTTCCTTAAATAGGGACTTAGTGTCTCAATCTAGTTGGGGACGTAACTTACTTACTTTACTTTACTTCAGCTATCTCCTACGGGAGGATGAGCCGGCTTCATGAACCATGAAGTTTCATGGGAATTGGGTACGAGTGATGTCCCCAGCATCGCTCGGCCTTTTGTTTGAGAGTGCAGCTCTAGCCTTTACACAACCAAGTGTGACCTACAAGGCAGTAGGAGTGGAGTAGGGAGTCCACTATCCATTGGCAGCCGGTGACCGGAGTCCGGTTCATTCGCCTTTTTGAATGGGGTCAGTCATCCAGTGCATCCAATAAGCCCTTTGTCCATACGTCTGCCGGTGAGCTTCATACGCCAGTCGTTGGAGGTTTGGAATCAGGGTTTAGCCATCTCCCCTAGACTGTCATCCAATGGACAGTCAACCCGGTGAAGAGCGCCGGGCATCCGCTTTCGCCCTCCCACTTTGGTGAAAAACACCTCCGCCACGTGAAGGCAGTGAGTAGGACTTCCTCAGGAGAGGCTATGTAAGACGCCTGGTCATATGGGAGCATTTCAAGAGGTGTACGGAGGGGTGGCCAACCCGCAGCGCAAGACACCCACCCCGACCATCCTGAGGCTTTGGGGACGTAACTGTTTCGCTGCGGTCAGTTTCTTATATCCGTTTAGTCGTAAGCATAAACGTGCGCGAACCAGAGCGTGATCAGAGTCTACGCACGTGTTCCAGAAGTATCGGCAGTCTTCTACTGACCCTCACCAACGATACCCTATGGCTATGTGGTCTATCTGAGTCCAGCGTTGATTTGGTGATGGAGGTCACCAAGTTACACAATGTCCCTCTTTGTGCCTAAAGTTAGTGCTGACTAGGAACAGATGATTATCTGAGCAAAACTGTAGAAGACGATCACCGTTGTCGGTTCATCGGCAGGGAACTCCATACGTACCACCTACATACTTCTCAGTCTGGCACAACTTCCCTACTTCGGCACTATAGTCGCCTTCTAAAACAACTATATCTGAACGTTTTGCTTTTTGCATCAAATTAGACAGTTTCAGGTAGAAGTCATCCTTTAGATCATCCGAAATGCAGTCTGTTGGCGTGTAAGCGGAGACTATGAGAAAGCAACGACGGGTAGCACCATCTTTCTGTCAACCGGACCCATTCAGACGGACTGCACAAATACGACTGTCAAGAAGTGACTTTTCCGCCCTAACACTCAATGCTATCCCTACACCTGCGAGTCCTCGCGAGCTAGCTGAAGGGTCTCCTGACACCCTTAAAGTGAATTTTGCAGATTCACCTTGTTGACCTGGTGAGGCTAAATGAATGACCACACTCGGGTCTTGTAGTATATATATATATATATATATATATAGTTTTTTAGTTTAAATACCACTAAATTGTGATCACATCACGTGATGAACACAAACCACAGAGAAGAAAAAAAATGTTCACCTGTTAAATCAATCAATGTTATGTAACATTGAAAAATTGGTAGCAATTATATTTACTGAGCAAATAATTCACTCAGAACTTTAGGGTTTAGATTTTTACCATGACATAAAAGGTCTCCATTTCAGTTACAGGGAAAATTGTCAGTTGAATTTGACTTTCCGATGACAAGTATACACAAGTAGATTTCTGTCTAAGTTGTGTGTTAATACAAACTGAAATTTATAGAATTACAAATACACCTATGTGTAAAATAGACTGGTTCAAACTATGAATATGCATGACATATGTGTGAATCCAATGAGAATTCATATTCTCTTGAATTGTAAGAATATCAGTGGAATTAGAAAAAAACCATACACGAAAATATATAAGCACAATAGGCAAGTGGATTGATCAGTTGCCTTAATAAACTGTTAACTAGACCATAGTTCTTCTAAATAAAGCCTTACAGAAACCTAACGCTGACACTACAAAATGTTTTGTAGCGTTTTTCAGTCATCAAATATATGCGTGTAACCTTCAAACTTGGTGAAACTTAGGTTTGAACTGAAATTCAACGACCAGTATTAAGCTGTTCAAGCCGTGCATCGATGAACTAGATGAGTGTGATTATCCACTTGTTTGCTTTTGTTTATTTCGATGAAATTCATTTCCTGTGAGAAAATTCCCTCCGGTGATTATTACTCTTCATATTGTTACTCTTGTTGTGTAATACACGCTTAGTATCTTACAAGGCTATTCTTTCTACGTGTTTCTGTGTCAACTGTATTTTCAAAACTTAATTTTATGCCTATTGTCAAATGTCCAGATTGTAGAGATTATGTATCTGTTCCTAGTTTTAGAAGACTTAGCGTAAATATGCAGAATACTGTGCACTGTAATCGACGCAGAACGATAGGAAAATGTTAAGCAACACGATTGTTTATTCTTCAAGTGAGAACAAAACAGATTTACACACGACTAATCAGTGCCAAAATCTCTAAATAAACGTTAATATAATGTACCACAATACTTATGATTGTAATTGTGCAATCTTCTCCTAACCCCAGTACAGCATTCTTGTCTCCCGCCAATATAAAGAACAGTTCGAACAAACAAACGATTCAATGTTCACCAGCATTGACACATCTTATTTATCAATTGTTAGACTACCTATCTTTCACCTCACTTAAAAATAGAATATCTGCTTTATGCAGTCCTCTTTATCTTGCTCCACAATTTCTGATCAACTTTCATCTCCTCCTCATACAATCCCCATCATGTCACCCTCGGACGACCAATTTGACGCTTCCCACTCGGCCAATCGCCTGATGCGGAATGTCACTCAACAGTCTCTTGAGCAATAGGTTCTTGGTTGGTCCATTGTCAGAGATCCTTGTTTCTCATATTTTCATGTCAGCCATCTCATCTTCACTATCGAGTCAGAGAAGGCAGTTGTTGATAGAACCTGTTCGAAATACCCATGGCGACACGCCATGTCTCTGAACAGTGTAGAAGCACTGACTGACTTAACATTAGTGTTGAAAATCCTAATCCCTTTCCTTATACCAATGCTGCAGTAGATTTCCACTCTGACTTCGGAGTAATGAAAGTCTGTCTTGCCTTTCCCATCATCATGATCCACTCATTCTCATCTGTGCCCACTGTCTGTAATTGAAACGATGCTGTTTAGGTAAATGGAAGGGATAACTTCCTTCAAATTTCTCTTCTTTATGATGATTGCTGTTGTTGTTGTTATCGTTGGTTAGGTATTTTAATCACACCTCTATTTTCTCCATGATCACTTCGCTGCTGTCTGCCTACCTACCTCCTCCTCCTCCTCCTCTGATAACTTGTTGTAGCTGGCACAAAAGTTAACGAACAAATGTAAATATTGATTGTGTACCACCGGATTGATGGATATGGAAGTTCACCTAGGGAGAGTTGGAAAAAGCTGGTTGTATACTTATGGTGTACATGAACTCCAGAATCCAAAGACATCAGACCCATAAAAAATCTATTTTTGGTAACCAGTAACCATAGGAAGCAATGCATCTCCTGACGTTGTTCTGCTGCTCTGTGAATTAGACTTCAAGCCAAAGACCTTAGGGAGCGGTCCATTTAGAAAACTAGCTATTTTGGTCTGGGAGTCCAGGAGGTGTTCCACTAACTGTTCAAGCCGAAACTGCGTTAGTGATCGGCTAGATCTCCATTAACAATAGGTTATGTTCTGTAAAGCTAAAAGGTTTTACTAGAGTAAGAAGCAATCGGTCAGACGATATCATCACATTGTGCGATAAATATGCAGGCTGTCTATATTGAATGTGCTTCATGCCGCCTAAGCACAAATTATTGTTGTAAGATTAACATGAATCTTTAACTAAACTCACGGCTTCAGGTAAAGTAGTCGATAAGTTCGTGTATATGGATAGTTCTGTGAGTGCTGACGGAGATATAAGGGATAAGGTGTATAGATGTACAGCGACAGCTTAGGCAGCAACCAGATGTCACCTCTGGCCTAGTCGTCAGCGGTCGGGTTTACAGTACTTCTATACATACAGCCCTGCTGTACGTTTGTCAAACCTGACCTCTACAAGCTAAAGATGTGCAGTGACTCTGAGTGTTCGACCACCACCGCCTATGCAGAATAATTGCTTGCATCCTTGCATGACATCACCATGTAAGTTATTCTTGGTCCCACTGATATATGTATGAAAACAGTGGAGATCTTTCAAATAGCTGTTGTCATCGTAAAACGCCAACTTTGGTGGTTCTTTTTAGACATGTACTACGAATGTGTTATCCCACTGACTTCCATACCATTCACTATTTGTAAGCCCTGGGACTGGGTGGGGGAAATGAAGAAGTGGGATTAACCTTGTGATTGTGGAGTCGCGGGATGAAGCATGGTTGTGTTAGGTTAACATATGTTGATGTATCATGACTCTCTAAATGGTGTCTAAAAGGTCGAGAATCATACTCACTGGCGGACAGGCTATCATTCCCTTCTCTTTCTGAATGTAACATGGAGTAATCAAGTATGCCTTGAATGCTCCCGATAGATATGCTATCCCTCGTTAACTCTGTTTCTATTCTCTCTATACCGTTGTTTTAGTATTTGTGCATGTGGCGTATCTCTTCATGATCATCATCATATTCTACCAAGTTTGAGTTTAAATAAATAAATAAATTTTTATCGCTTTATTTTGTAATGATATACAGATTTGGCTACCTGATCAAAGGATAAATCTGTACACAACTTCTTTAGAAGAATGTAAATCATCTACAGCAGACAACCGAAAAAAACCTCTTAAGGCAGATGGGAATAGTGTGTCAAGTTCAATCCACTGTATAAACGTTGAGCCAAATACTTGTCGTCGCGTGTTTTATCGATTAGTATTTCCAGATAACTCTTCATCGTAAGTTCTTCATTCAATTCACTTCCTGTCTATGTACAGATTTATATAGTGAACAGAAAAAGAAAGGGATGCTGTTTAAAGTATGTGATACCATGAAGTGAATTGGTAGATGCTGGCTGGCAGTGGTGTTCTCTCGCTGAGACTCGAACACCACCACTCACTGAATGGGGAATGCAGCTATATTCAGTTGACGACGAGTCTCAAATAGGACGAAATGTTCATCCTGGATTCCACTGTTAGTCACCATCCACCATTTAACTTCTAATTATATGCCCAGACATCGTCAAAGCATCTGCACAAGGAGTCGACATGTCAACCTGAGGCCGAGCACCTCGATCCAGTCATTCAACGGGAAGGTGCAAATTGAATTAGATAATTACGCAATAATCCCAAAAGATAACTCTGGTGGAGCTACATGGTTTGAGTTCACCAAATGCTTGAGAATTGAGCTAGTAACTATCTTACATTGTCATTTTGCCAACCATGCGGGATAATGTTCAAAGATGCGTTTGCAAAGTGTGCGGCCAATATAACTAGCTCCGTAGGAGCAGATGAGTTTATAAACACACATTGAAGTGGCTCAAAGCTGCAGTTTATCCCTCACACGTCCATTGATCATTTTTCCGCTGTAAGAACTGCTCCGTAGCTCAGCCAAAAAGAAGGCTTTCTCAGTGATCTGCATAAGCGGTTCTTCAGAATCTCAACCGCAATATCACTTTTAAATTTGACGTTCATAAATAGCAGTTTCTTCAGCACTGTCTGGGTTCTTTCGGGCTTTCGCCTTACTTTCATTTCTACTTGGTGAACTCAAAACACGTAGCTCCGCCAGAGTCGTCTTTCAAGATTATCTACAAAGTGAGGCCAAATGGTACAAAGGACGTCAGGTTTCGGCAATTATGTAACACTAGGTTCTGTGTTAATACGCGTGAGTAAATTCTGCAAGATGAAAATATTTGACCTATTACTTGTAAGCTAAGTGTCTCACTGTAGTGATTTGGCTAGAAAATCTCTTTTACTTCGCTGCTCACCTCATTCAAAGATTTACGTTCATATTTCCCAGGGAAATGACAAAATAAATTGTTTTAATGAACATCATGATATTCATGTCTTACGACGGAATAGTCTCTGTATAGTTGGTTGGTTGGTTGATAACTTGTTCAAAAGACATGATAGCTGAAATAAGCTAATTTGTATACGACATGAATCCTAACATTCCTCCAAGGTTTCATCTTGTATAATATCAGAATTATGAAGTTCTGAGTAATTTTAAGCCAACACAGTTCTGTTAGTTGTACAATGGTGAAATGTTCCGCATGCACACGTGGTTTGTGATTCCTGGCAGTCATCTCACAACCTATCGGCTAGTATAAACAAGGCGTATGAGTAAATCTGGAAGGGAGGAGGGAAGGTTATGTATGAGGCTAGCTAGTGACTTCAACCCACAACACAACCTCTGTTGAAACTTCAGAAGCTTGAGGCTTTATGCTCCCACCGGAATGCAAGGAATCAAGAAAACGTAAGCGTAGTTATCCACTGTGAATGAATTTCTCTTCGACATCCCACCACATTATTTTATAGTAAGCGAAATACAAGCTCGAAATAAAACTATATCAGGTGGGCACATTTTGTCTTTTTACTATAAAATGGTTTGTGATTAAATTAAAAAATAAACAGAATATTGGATTTCTAAAAATTTACAAACAATTTTTTCTACGTACATGCACTACACATTAGAAATAAATCACGGTTGCTTGATTCATGGCGTAAAGATTTTGGAGTTACATTAATCCATTTGCCAATAGAAACGTGTATTGGATTTTCAGAGTGTTTACGTCAATCCTCTTTACAAATTGCACCGCACACAAGAGAATTGAATGGTCCAATGGCCGGGTTCATTGTAAGTCTCCTTCTCAATCATACTGACAATTTTATTTGAAATGTTGTCGTCTACTTACAGTATCCTCAAAATTTTATTGTTGCATTATTCTAAAGTTGTGCCACCCTATGCATTTACTAAGTGGATAATATCTCAAACTTTTGACTACTTGTTCTTATTGTCTTACAGATTTTATCTCACTAGCTAGATCATACATATGATATATTGTGCTTTTGTCTTCCTTTCATGTTGCTTCACAAGGATCTCTCCATTTCTGCTCTTGGCAACTCAATCCATCCCTCCGCTATCCAATACTCTTGAAAAAGACATCACACGTGGTATAATACTTACGGAATTCTATTAGTAGCACACGAGTATTTCTCGTTTAAAATAACGTCTTGTTCCGTGTGATGAGTACAAATCACTTGTTTGGCGACAGTCAAAGGATCAGTCCTAAGATGTCTATTTCCTCTGCGTTGAGCATATGCATGAAATGTTTCATTATTTCTTCGCAGATACTTAGTCCTAAGAAGTGAAGGTTGTTTTCCACTTTGCCATCGAGTATGTTTGAATGAGCAAGGCAAAACCAGAATTTGGTACTGTCGGTTACGCTGGTTAGTTCTTGAAAAACATATTACCGAAGATTAGTCATAAAGTGTGCTACCCGTAGTCACTTCGTATAATTTACCAGTAGATTTACGCATTCATAGTGCCTTTAGTTACTTGAAACATAAGTCTTATTTACCGGGCTATGATACTTATCCACTTGCCCAGGTTGAAGTAGATGGAACGGAGTTCGAACATTGGGTCTGTTAACTGGAGTTTTATTGCTTAAACTCACATCTCCGATAGCTAACCGAAATCTACTGACTGATCATGCTAAACTGTCACATCATGACACTCTTTATGGATACCTTCAAACCCGAAGCTCCCTGCAAACTGGGTTTTAAATTCTATTACTAATTCAAATAAGATGTGGAGACCAAAGATTGAGCGTAGTGGCCTTCACTTTCTTCATTCCTTTGCGTTCTGAGCGTAACATAGGGATTCGAGCTTCAACTTTGAAGTTTCAGATGCAGCAATGTTATTCGGTATTTATGCAGTTCGGTTGCTAGCCTTACGCTCAACCCTCTGCTTTACCTGGCTTACTACCGGTTAAGAGAAGTCTAGGAATGCGTCGGCCAGGGATCAAACCCCAAACCACCAACGCATAATGATCCTCATTATCTTTGTTGAATTCTCCAGTGTTTCTACAACTAGTTAATAAATATAGAGGAGAATGTAGTTAACTTTCTTAACACTTATATAGACTTTAAATTCAACAATGTTGCTACATTACGGTTTTTCTCAATGAACGCTCTCACTACCTACCCGAGTGAGATAGATGAGTTCACTTACTAAGAAGATTTGGGGTTGGATTTACCTTAGAAGTTTTATACTAATGATCCCAAAAATTACCCGCAGGGCATACACTGCTCTGACTGATAAGAACAACCAAAATACACTGTCTAACTTTATGTTTGCCACATATTCTCCCATAAATGTATATTTTTTTTATATATTTCAGTCGGGTGCTGTCCCATTGATTAACGCTAGCAAATGAATCAAAATTACATGATTACTACTTGCAAACGGTGTTGTACATACGAGATGTTAACAAATATAACCCTATTCATACAGTCCTATTTATTCTTTTTCTCATATTTATTAGTCTGCTGGGAATTGTTAGACAGCAATAGGATGACTAGCTCAATAAGCGACATGTGCAGAAGTCGACTGACACCACTGTTTGTCCTAAGATATTTCCCAGTTGGAAGGCGACTAATGGGATCATCGCAATATGATTCAATCCAGTTAAAACTAACTGGTATCCCATGTTTCTTAAAACTGTTAGTACGCTACATAGATTTTAGAAGAAAAAGAAAGAAATTAACTCTAGTGCGTTACTCTACATATATATTTATATTCAGAGTCAATGAAGAGTCTTGCACAAATGGCGATGTAATTCAAATATAATAATTAGAATTCGGTTTAGACGTTAAACAGTTTGTCAGTCAAAACCTTTATTCATTCCCCAGAATTAGATGTGTTGCTTGGCTTTCTGATCAAATTGGTTGGGGTTTTCGAAGACTCTCCTAACGTAGGCCAGCACTCGGAATTGATATTAAAAGCTTTAGGAGTCTGTGGCTTTGGAGGACTGCGTGAAAAATGAGCAACACGATCTGGACCAACAACATTCAGTGCGCCTGCACGAGAAACCTATGCGAGTATTAAAAAAACGTATATGAAATAAATTCAAATCAGATGCAAATTATAAAATTGACGAAGCCGGTAAGTAAGAAAAATAACTCGCTTAGACACCACTAGCCTGACATCGAACACGATGCTGCCCAACTTTTAAACATAATCAACTATCTAAAAATAATTGGGCCATCTATTTCAGATCACTTCACATGCATATGCAGAACAAGCTGAACCTTAACTAAGCGTTAATTCCAGTTACAAGTATGGTGGATCACTAGTGATGACTGCATGAAACTGTCAGTTTTTCGGTTACCTGAAATCTTAATTTAGGAGTCTCAGTGGCGCTGACCAAATAATATGTAATCTTTATGTGAAGTGCGTAGAGAATACTTAACACACTAATTTAGCGAACTGCCAGTGATGTGAAACATTGTTCAGCTAAAAATTATCTTCTTCTTCTTTCTTTACTTCGGCTATCTCCTACGGGAGGATGAACCGGCTTCATGAACATCTCGAATGTTTGTAAGAGAGTTGATGAAGTTTCATGGGAATTGGGTACGAGTGATGTCCCCAGCATCGCTCGGCCTTTTGTTTGAGAGTGCAGCTCTAGCCTTTACACAGCCAAGTGTGACCTACAAGGCAGTAGGAGTGGAGTAGGGAGTCCACTATCCATTGGCAGCCGGAGTCCGGTTCATACGCCTTTTTGAATGGGGCCAGACATCCAGGGCATCCAATAAGCTCTTTGTCCATACGTCTGCCGGTGAGCTTCATACGCCAGTCGTTGGAGGTTTGGAATCAGGGTTTAGCCATCTCCCCTAGACTGTCATCCAATGGACAGTCAACCCGGTGAAGAGCACCGGGCATCCGCTTTTGCCCTCTCACTTCGGTGAAAAACACCTCCGCCACGTGAAGGCAGTGAGTAGGACTTCCTCAGGAGAGGCTATGTAAGACGCCTGGTCATATGGGAGCATTTCAAGAGGTGTACGGAGGGGTGGCTAGCCCGCAGCGCAAGACACCCACCCCCGACCATCCTGAGGCTTTGGAGGCTTCGTATAAGTGTGTGGTAGCTTTGAAGTCACACTGACGATAAGCGCACCAAAACATCATATCAAACTGTAGAAAACCTACGTCCTTACTGAACTCCACCCAAGTGAGTAGTGCAGGACGAGAGGAAACTAAACGGTTTTGTTAGTTCAACTAAAAGATATACGTAAGTGAAATCTCACCAAACAATTTAAAACTCATCAACCAGTTTCGGAAGTTACGTGAAACAATAGGTATTTTCAGGTAGTGTGAAGGGGATGTAGCAAAGCTAAATTAATGATGAACTGGATTATCAGCAGTGATCGGGTTTTTAAGGTGGGAGTTTCCGAAGTAGTTTACACAGAAAATCAGATTGTAACATTAAAAGTAGTCAAGACTTACCTCTGCAAAACTAACTGGCAATGTACTCTTTTTTTGCAAACTGTTCGTCCCGGATGAGAGTGCGACAAAATCAGACATTTTCGGTTGTTCTAAGAAATATATTTAGTAAGGCAAAGTATACTCACCTTGTTTTTCAGACAAAGAAGCATGACCACTCAAAACGAAACCTGGAGCTAAGAAATGTGAACATCAAAAAAATCAATGAAGGTTAATGAACATTTCTGAAATCTGGAGGATGGAAAAAGGGTTAACAGCACAAACTCAATGCCTTGAAAAACTAACTTTTTGCCGATTTGTTTTGTGTATTAATAGTGACGATGCAACATAACATTGCAACACAGACATGGGTTATTGGCATACATCAAATACAAACAGTTGGAGAACACTGACCAACCAACATACAACTTAGTGAATCAAGACATCAGTTACGATAGCCTTGTTGGTATATCAGCAAGTTTCTTAACGTTCAATAGAATGTACTAGCTCCAGAAAACGAATACCCGACCTATAATCAGAAATTGGCCAAGTATTTGAAAATACCCATATTAACTGCTTAAGGCAATCTTCAACGAATCCCTCAGAATTCGAACCTTCAGTCACACGTATTTTTAAAATGACGTGATTCAAGATTAAAATTTGTTCTAATGGGAAAATATTTGTCAGCCAATAAGTATACGGCACTGCTGACTGGTGGAGCGCTGGCCGACCATGCATGTGGTTCGGGGTTCGAGTCCCGGCCAGTGCACACCTTTACCTCCCTTAGCCGGTTACAACCCCGTAAAATTACCACTGCCACTGAAACCTCAGAGCTAAAGCTTGAAGCCATATGTCTCAGTAGTAACAAAGAAATTTTGTTAAAATGCCAACTGTAACTTGTCATATTCTTTGCCGTTTGTGTTACCTCACAGTCTTTGGACATAGAGATGAGATACGGCGATAGAAAATGCGACATTGTCACTTACTAAAAAACAAAATTCCCCCTAACACTTACGTTCCACTTTTTAAGCAAAAGAAAAGCAAACAGCTCTTACGTAGTGATGTAAACTGATTTTCAGCTGCTCTCTTCAGCTCGGTAAGTTTTAGGTCTTCCAATCGACTTCGATCTCGCTCCATTGCACGATTATTTAGAACTGTTGCATAATGGGCTAGAGTTGCTTCTGATACCAGGGGTGGTTCTAACTCGATTTCTACCAAACTGAAAGCATATCCATTTGGTAAATGGTTGAGATAACGCAACCGTTTACGAAGAAACTAAAACGGAAAAACCACAAAGATGCAATATGACAGGACAGTACATGGTGTTTGTGGTGAATTCCACTGAACCCCCATAAAAACCGTATCAGATCTCGCCCTTACACCCAATTGGTACAATTTAGCCCAATGGAATGGTGCTTACATTGCAAACGTGACTGACGGGAATCAGTCTGCACTAAACGAAGCACTAGCTACTGACTATTATACTCTCACATGCGACCCAATCCACATAGGGGACTTCAGTTCACAGAAAAGAATAGGCACTTTATCATTGTAACAAATAATAAAGATACTATGGCATAACGTATAACTACGGTAAATACGACTACTCAACATAACAAAGTGGATACTTCACAAAGCTTCACAAAAAACTTACCGGGTTCATTCGACAGTTTTTAATCGTGACAACAGTTGTACTAATCTCTTCTGGAAGGTATTTAATATCTCCATACTCAGTCAACAGGCATCTCCATGCAAGACCATCTAGGTATATCGGCTGACCGTCTGTGACTAAAAAGACGTTATTAATGATAATACAGTTACCTTGGTAGAAATAGAGGTCATTAGCAGAGTCATTAGAATTACTCGGAGTATCACCGTCAAGAAGTTTATTTACACCACTATAAGTTTTAGGCAAAGCACAGCTTTCATGCTTCAGTTTATCGAGAACCAAGTCAATGAAAGGAATAATTTCGGTGTTGCTACCATCTATTTCGCATATGGTCTTGTATGTTAAGAGTTCATTGATTTCCGTCTCATTGAAGTTCATCATTGATGCAGTGTCAGCAAGGCACACACACTGAAAAACAGTAGCCCCATTTGCTTCAGTGACTGACCGACGAGTCACCTCACTTCCTGAGCGCCTCACAAGTGCAAAATCCAAATTATCACCCGGCTTTATTTGCGTAGTTGGAACGAGTGACACCCTACCTTTTAAGTTTCAAAAAAACTACTCACCTTTTTAAATCATCAAACGGTAGCAAGCAGGAACAGACGGCACACTTTTTGCTGGTAGAATCGTTCTCGTATTTTATATATTGTGTTACACAAGGCCAGCAGTAGACGTGTCCACATTTACCCATCCGCGGTGCAACAGGTGGGTGTAGACATATGGGGCATGCCAAGTCGCCTTTATTCGGAATCCTTACAGAGAAGACTTCATCCCATTCCGGTGATAATTCGTTGCTACTATTCTTGAGGTACGCACACCCAGGGAGGAGCGTTAACTGACAGCTAAAAGACAGTCGATTATTTATTAGTTAACCTACGAGCCGTGTATGTAGCCATCGTAGCTTGATTCCAGAGAGTAGTTCTTCCTGGAACTCTTCCCTACATAAGTATCGATGGGAATTGCATCATAATCAATACACGGATCATACAATCCTTTAGACCACTTCTTTGACTGTCTGCATCTGACTTGAAAACGATTGACTGCAGGGCGCTGACTTGATGAAGATCCCAGCAGGCTGGTGCACATTTTGCCATCTAAAAAGAAGTTAGGATTCAATGTTATTCTGACCTTTTCTTTCTGAGATGCTGGGGCGCTGAGCGTTCATGGGATAGCGCACTAGCGAGTTTTCCATCGGTGGAAGGAACTTTTCTCTTGAAAATTATCGCAGATTGGTTAAAGTAGTTGAAAACCATATTTAGAACTCCATTATATCAAAATATCTAATAACAAGAACAGTTAGAAGTATGTGTTAGCCAATCCAAAGTCGTAAATTGGGGAAATAATAGCCTTTCCGAAAAATACGTTGGCAGCGCCAGTAGCACCAGAGCTGATTAAAACTTAATATGACCTACATTCAACATTCCTGCCGCAAGCTCTATATTCTTTTCTGCAGCCGTCTTTGACTAAACAAACTTTCATAAATACTTCTTACTCGGACATACGTAAAAAACCTACCTAGTTAACTACATACACCAGTGACCTGTTTATATCGCTGATTCCCTGATGGAACCACTACTATTGATTTTGCGAAAGAAACTGAGGGAGGAGCCCTGCACGTTTTAAGAAATTACTCTGGGTAGAACAGTAATTATTCTAATAATATGCTGCAGGTTACTAATTTACTTGAAGATTCCGCACATGAATTAAATACTTTGCAAGAAAGATGCTGAGAATTCTGCTCTGCTTGTTGCCTCATTTTTCACAATCAAGCTATTAACATTACCTTACAGACTATCGGAAACTAAAAGTAGCTACTGGCAGGTTAATAGCGAATTCAATGCATGCGATTAATCGTTTCTGCTCTAAGTTTAATGTAAGTCAATCAAATAAATTTAATGGGCGTTACTTTCGTGGGGTAGGTATTCGTCTACAATGCAGAGCATTTGTGTCGTTTAACTACAAACATAGAGGACGCTAAATTGCCTGATGAAATAACCCTAACGTCATTTGCCATACGAATCTGCATATTCTTTTGTATTTCGTTCCTTTCAGGGTAATTAATAACACAGGACTAGCTTTCTTGACGATCAATCTAAAAAGTGACTTAAAATCAACTAGAAAACAGTCTGATAAATACTGAGTCCTAGAGGTTGACTTTTAACCATCAGCGGTGACCTAACCGCCTATACGTTAATGTCAGTGATATGTGCTTTGTAATAGTCGCCGTCTGTATCTATGTTCGACACTGGTTAATGGCTTTCAGTCAGCATTCATGTAACCACAGCTGGTGGCCATCGAAATGACAACATTTTTAGGTTCGATTTTCAGATCTCATCGCAAACCAAAATCAATTAGAGACTAAATGACATTTTCAGTCTGCAAATAACTGATGAAAAGGCAGTAGCAACGTTGACGTGTTCCACAGTGCAGACATCCACTGATTACTCAGAAACATTTATCAACGTTCAGCATAGTTACACAGGACTTTCTGTTCAGTTCACCGCCTGCGTTAGTTAAGGTTCGGCTTAATTTAGAAGGAAAAACACTTGACCGGATACTCTAGAGGAACCACCATGTGGCACTGGGAGTTTCAAGCATAGCACAAGAACTGTAAAACACTTTGTTGTAGTAAAAAAAGTGAAGGCACTTGGGGTGGCTGAATACAAACCTGACTACCCTGATACTCTTTAGTCTAATAGCTGACAGGTAACATCACTAACTAGGGGGAAGTCAATGATTTATGAAATGTAAATGACCGCCAATTGTGATCTAAACATTTGCACGGTACTACATATCTCCATTCTAACGAAGTCTTCATAGACAGCCATTTTTTCCTTGATCAGTTCAGAATTTGGGTGGCTGCGAATGTAATCCTACGTTCAAAGTAAACCGCTTTTATCCTTTTTACATTTGGTAATGAGCTGTTCGGTACCAATATCATGCTTTTGTATGCTGTTTATCACTCCTAAGAGCGTTTGATAATTATGTTATATATGCATATCATTTGCTAGAATTCGTGATTAATTGACCGGCGGTTACGTGCTATGGGCTTAGATACAGGATTGCTGAAAACTAAAGATTTGTAATGTAATCGCCAGATGCATTTTTCGACGGACGGTCCAGCCGAATCCCCATCGATTTGGTTCCAATACAACACTATTTGAAGCAATTTGGTATTCGCCGTTAGTTATTTGCGTATTGGTTATAATAATTCGGTCACTTAGCATGCACATTCACCCATAGAAGTAAATTTTGTATTCGTCTGGACTATACAAATTCTGGGTCGCTTTAGTGTGACACTTTGCTTCTTGCTTAGATCTTCATGTTTTCGACAAATAGGATGGGCAGCTGTGGTATTATGGATACATGTTTTCGGGCCTTAGGGGAAGACTTAGCTTGATATGATTATGAAGACTCACCTCCGCTGGAAAACTCCAATGATTACTTCATTCTATCAGTTAGTCCGTGGAAGACAACCCTCGTTTCTCCTCTCTTCAAGGGTGCAGGCTGACAAAAACCAACGAGTTATCGACCAGCAGCGCTACTTTCTATGGTAATAATTATCTGGTTGATGATCATATCTGGCAGCAACTTAATAGGAATAAACACTCAGTGAAACATGGCATGGTTTCGGGATAGTTAGATCCCGTACAACAGTTCTAGTGTTGGCACACAATGACTAAAATCATGCTGCTATATCAAAGTTCCAGTCGACGCAGCCCCCCACGATTTGGCAAAGGCGCTTGAAGCCATTCAGGACGGCCATCTCCACTAAATGGGTCAGATGCGCGTTGGTAGCCCGCTACTTTCACGGTTGGAGGAGTGCTTGGGCTAAATAGATTTCCATACCAAATCCAACCGCGTCCGATCATCCTGTCATAGTTTGACGTAGGAAGCCGCCTGTAAAAAAACAGGTTCATGAAAACCATGAGCCTCAACACTTGGCGGTGGATTTTGGTGGGAAGCTGCTGATTTCGCATCTTTTGCCCCATCAGAGTGCATCCAGCGGCATACGTACTCAATGGCAACCAACAGAAGGTTGATCCCTTCTGCGCAAGTGGTAATAAAGGAGACACCATCTGTTTGGCACGTAAAAATAATGATATAGGCGGGTGTTTCTTCTCCACTTTTCCCGTTGAATTTTGAGGAAAAATAAAGTGAACATGTTGAAAATACACCTGCGTATATAACTTCAAGATCGTAAAGAAATTTCAGTATATACTATGTAAGCTATTGGACAGTGGTGATTCTTGTGGTACTCTGGTGTCCTCTGTATTAATGAAACTTTTTTATGAGGTAATGCATGATGTAGTGTATATTCAAGTTTCTAGCACTATGTACATAGCATATCTTAGTGTTATTCTAGGAAACCAAATAGTTTCTCTTCATGAGTGATTTTGAACGCGTTTCCAGTAACTTTCGATCGGAAATAACGCTAACAATTTATGTGTAACCATCTCTCCTGCTATATTTGGGTTCTAGACACAGCAAATGCTGAGTTTTCAGTTTCATTCACCAATCCCGGTGGCCGGGCAACTCTTCAAACCGCTACAACTTACGAGGGAATAATATAACACTTACTGCCTCCAAAAATTTTGCTTTTTATGATAATTTAAAGAAATTGTAGACATATAGCACCTCAAGTTAGCTGTTAAGCTCTTTTCCCTCAAAAATATAAAAGTCCACCCCATGTTGCAGTCTGCACAGATAAAAAACTTATCGTCGAAGGTTCGTTTGATTTAACGGATTTCTTTTGTCCTATATATCATCCCTCCCTCACTAGAACCAACTAGGGTTGATTCGATTCGTTGGAAGGAGTCAGAGTGCACAGGAGGATAAAAGGAACCAGTAGCAATTGTTGCGTACGGTAGATCTGTAGAAGAAAGTAAAAGAACGGCAGAAACCGGTCACGAGAAGGAATTTATTTCCTGTAGATAACTGGCAGGACTAATACCATGACAGAATAGAAAATCAGCTCGGTGTGTGATGGATTCAGTGGGCAGATATATAACTTCATTACTTTTATGTGTACGAAACAATGCCTGAAATTTAAAGATGATTAAGCAGACTCGGACTCAACCCCAACCAAAAAAATAACACCATTCAGACAGCGTGTGACCGTGAATGTTTCCATCAGCATTCTAATTCCCAACCCATATTCGAAGCACTTGATGTGGTTTTTGCTGCATGGTGTGCTTGTGATAAAAGGAACACGCGTGCAGTCATTGATGTGGACTCCGAACTCAACGTCCCGTTGTATCACGCGGTATATTTGTATAAAATGGCACTTTGGTGATGCTGAGGACCGAAAGCTGAGAGAATGGCAGCAAGATACACACTTGCCACTGGTCTTCGCTGCAGCCGTGAGGCAAATTAAATGTGCCGTAATACATGATGGTAATTATATGATAATAAACTTAGTAAGATGCATTAAAAGATAATGAGCAGTGTTCGTGCTATGAACTATATCATCGACAAACGTACCTGGCCAACATCTACATTATACTTCAACACTGCTCACTGTAACAATTCTCATGATATGCACAACAGTCACGTAAATTTTGAGATTGATTGTGCTGATAGGGCGTTTCTAGACACAAACGTTTCTTAAAAAGCACAACAGAGGCAGAGTTGAAGATGTGACCTGAAATACAACATCCGCAATTTAATTAATTGGACTGAACACATTATGAGGATTCCAATAACTTATTTTTAATTAACCCAAGTTAACTTCCAATTATTAAATATGCTAGAATGACATCGTTATAGTTGCCACAAGAGTCGCCCGAATAATCTTTAAGGAGACAAGCTTGTAGTCTTCGACCAAATTTTGACCTTGGCGGCCTGTTCGAATTTTTGGGCCTGCCACTATAATATCTGTATTTTGCATCCAGTCTACTGTTTACTAACATACATTTATCACCTAAATATGAATTCTAACAGAATCATTTACTCTCGTAACCTTATCAATCATCTACGACTAAATGACTTTCATATTCCAAAGAAATCAAGGAAGAAACATCGTAGCGGTCGGCAGAGACCTTTCAAACGTAAACCAATACACTTAACTACGGTCCCTGTCATAATGAACACAAACTGCCGCTCTCTGCCAAACAAGATAATGTACCTACAATCTTTGATGTCCACTGACACTTATCATAATACTGCCATAATCACATCACAAGAAACGTGGTTGCATGAACTGTATGATGGCAATCTTATCTCACTAAAGGACTTTATTTTATTTCGTCAAGACCGTCAATGTTGTAATAAGAAAAATGGTGGTGGCGTTGCAACTTTTATTCACTCCAAATGGTCTGTCTCAAATAACGTCTGCTTCACCTTCTCAAATGACTTCATTGACTGTATTACTGTCAAATGTCGCCCCAAACACCTCCCCAAATATAAACAATCTATATTACAAACATGTACATT